ACATCTGCATAAATAACCGTTTCCTCAGTGCCCGCTTTGGCTATGACTTCCCCCCTGAAAAGAAAAGCACTATGTTAAGGTATGGTTATCCAAAGATGCTTTCTGAAAGCTGAAAGGTGGTTAAAGGAACTCCTCTTGGCTCCAAACCTTGGCCTTTCCACTCCTATGAACAGATGCTTGAATCAAAATTATCACTGATCTCTATAAATCCCCTTTTCCTCCATCCACTGCATGGTTTGTTTGGGCAGTAGCAACCATCTCTTGACTGTCTCAGATTACTGAGATGAGACCTGATCTTTAAAAGGTCACTCTAGTGATCCTGCTGACAAATGAGGGGCAACAGCTCTAAGGGGAAAAAAGCCCTTGAGGTTTCTTCTATCAGCCCTGTTCTGTTCAGTCAATTATGCCACACTACCTTCCTCTGAGTTCAAAAGTTATATATTTTAGACAAAAACTTCACAGTAAGAGTACCCTTTTGACAGTTATCACATAAAGACATGGGGGAAAGGCACCTATGATATCTCCTCATAGATATCCATAAAGTCAGTACTTAAATATTTCTTTTGAAAGTGTGGACAAGAAATTCTTGGCTTTTATTGACTAGGACTGAACAATGGTTGCAGGAACTTTTATATTTTGGGGTTAAAATGTTTCAGATTTTTACTGGGTATGTTATCCTTTTGACCTTTATCTAGTATTTCTGATGTGCCAAGGCAATAATAATAGCATGAGAGACTTTAATTACCGTCCATTTTGTCACTTACCATGGATTTACTACAGTGCTATGTCCCCAGGCTACATAAGACGCCTTCTCATCCCTAGCAGGAGATACAGCAGCCACATAGACCTGGTTATCAACAGCTCTGCATTTTTTTAAAAAAACAACAACAAGAGATCACTGCATAAGGGTTATATACGGCTGGGGAAAGCATTTGCCATGGAGCTGCCTTGCTATGCACTTTCCATAGTACAGTTTGCACATGTAAGAATCACCCCCGTGTCTCTATACTTCGGGAAACCTAAACTAGGAACAAGTGGTTATCAGTGAAGCCCAGAATTCCAGACTGGGCTCACTCAGCAGGATCAGTCCTTAATGCTGAGATTTATCCTTAGGAACTCTGAGGAAATGTTACAACCCAGTTTGAAAGCTGTAGTTCAGGTGGGGCTGAATTAGCTATTAAGCTTTACTTCCTGGTATACTAGATGGCAGCTACTGATGCATAATATAAAGAGCAAATGAGGTTTAATTTAAAAAAGAATAGTTTACATTTAGCATTTCTGCATAGACACTCAGAGCAATGCAATGAAGTTACCTAAAGCTTTGGGATGAGGAGGGGTGGAGAGGTGAGACCCTTTGCTATGTCTTACCGTCCTCTCTGCAGCAGCTCCCAGTGGGCAGGGCCTGTGGTCAAATTGAAAGCCCCAGGATACACCAAGAGCTGGCAACCTTGGTACAAAATGAAGGCAAAATTGTGTCAGGAACCTCAGAGGAGAAAGGAGTTACCATGGGGAAAGGAAGACGGCATTTCTTGTCACTTCACTTGAAGATGAGTGTTGGAAAGCAGACTGTTCACACACAAAGGCTTTTGATTCAGGAGATGTCTTGACTTTGAGCACTCCCAAGCAGGAG